TCACGTGATTCTGAATATATTGTATATATAGTGACAAATTGCAAATATCACATGTTGTAATAAATAAATTTTTCCTTTTTAAAAATCACGAGAATTAAAAGTTTATTAGATTTGATGTCGATCATCACCAAATATAGGTTTGTCCACATGCTCATATGTTTTCTCACTTGATAAAGACCGATAAGAGAAGGGTCAATATTAGTGAGCAAAAGTTTTGAAGGATGTTATAAATAAGAGCAGAAAAAAAGCGAAGTATAGTTGCAGATGCCCGATGCCATTGTCTAACACAAAAGAAAGAAGATCAACTCACTCAATCAAGCGCTATCGTATGTTCCTCCACCCGCCATATATCCGTCAGATGCCAGCATCTCAGAAAGTGTAATATCTGTAAGCAGTGGTTGGCCGCCGACGAGATTAAAGCGTTGAAGTGAGATTTTTGATATAGTAGCTAGCTTCGTTTTTGATGAAGAGCCAAAAAAGCTCAAATTCACGAAAGGGCTGAAGATACGCGTAGAACCAGATGTTGATACTATAATAAATGTCAACATATACCATAACCTAAATATCTTTATGGGCCTACACTACGAATTTTCGAAACAAAAAAACTCTGATTTTAAATGATGCCCCAACATTGACAAAGGGATACCTGATTACACTGCCGTGTATTTAGAAATAATGGAAAAATCATCATTCCTATAGAAATCAAGAGAAACCTTGTGGTGGATCCATTAATCAATGATAAAGAACAGGACAAATTTATAATTGTATAATTTCATTGCATCTTCAATATGGTGTACTTTCTAGTTTAAAATTTTAAAAAATGACTCTGATAACTTCTTTGTTCGTAATTGTAACGAAAAGCAAGGTAAATTATATTTTAAGACGTGGCCTTCGCAAGCGTATTTTCCAACCATGGAATTGCTAAGGAGAAGTATACTCGGGACAGCTGTAAAGAAATACAATGACGAGCTCGATGCGGCCATAACAATGTGTAAGCTTCAAGAATGGAATTCGGGTGTAAAAAATTGGGGCATATATATCTAAGCAATTTTCGTTGATGCCCCGGGTAAATAATTTGAAAAACAAATTACTTATACTATATGAGATGATGACTCTGTTCGCAATGGTGTGGATAATTACAACATAGGCCTATGTTTGTGCCATGAATCCAGACGTATACAAGCACTATTAGTGTACGCCTTAGCTCTGCAGAAAGCTAGCTCTGTAGACATCAAAGGGTTCGGGAGCACGAGTTGCATCGTCAGACATTTTGCTAGGTCTGTTACGGGCAATGCCTTCGTGTATCTCGTCATCGGCCATCAGCGTGTTAACTCATTTTAAAATATATTGACACATGATATTTTTTTTGAATTTTTATAAATCTTTTATGATATATATATCAGAAACACTCCAATCACTTATTAATCTTTTATTGCGCATTTACAGAAAAAACGTCAACGAGTTTTCAGTGAAGCGTATCAAGAAGAAAAGAAACGGGTATGACTTTAGACTTTTCAATAAAAGGATTGGGCCTCCGAACTAATTAAAATGCCCCTTATAGCGCGAAGAATACGAAAAACGACAGAACCAGGAGATCATCAAAAAAATATCGCCGAAATAGTTAATAACTATAGATGCTGGTAAAACTGGTGAAACTCTTGGTGAATGGTGGTGAAACTGGTGAAATTTAATATAACGGCCAATCAGATTTTAGATAGTCACCAATTTCACCAGCGTTATTTAGTTTCACCAGCATTTATAGGGGAAATCAACAAAAAAAAGATCTTTAGAAAATCAATTTTTAGATTGTAAATTTTATAATAATCATAAGAAATTGCAAATTTTGAAAAGCTATATTGCAAAATTTTATTAATACAACTACTTTTGTGTCTTAAGTTAAAAATGTTCCTGATCTTATTTTAAATTAATTTATGTAAAAAAATGAATTTTAAAAAATTTGTCAATTTCCCCCCTTTTTGCAGCACCAAGCCCATATATTGAGCCCCTCTGTTTTATTGACTACAAATATAAGCGTAATATGAAATCTGACGTCTATAGTTTGGGTATAATCCCCTGGGAAATTTCAAGTGGAAGGCCGCCATTCCAAACCTTTGAATGCCGAGATTCTCTCCTTATACAAGGGTCAATAGACGACACACCAACTCAATATGTTGAACTTTACAAGGAATGTTGGAATAAAGAGCCTTCAAATCGGCCGGAAACAAGATTAATTCTCAAAACTTTAAACAAACTCACCGCTAATAAAGATATAAGTCAATCTATCACTAACGAACCATTAATTAAAAATATACAAAGGCACATGAAGATCTGTTTGAATGACATCATCCCCTCCATATTTACCTGGTAACATCGACTTAGTAGACTCATATGAAAGTATACCACCTTTGTTTGATCCATCAAAAAGAACTGATACTCAAAACGTGCCATTACTCGGAGTCCTTGTCCCACAAAATAATGGGATAAATTTAGCTCAACACCATGCCATGGTCAAGAAAACTGTAGCCACTGCATTATATACTCTGTCTATCTATTTATTTGGTATCACTACGACTATGCTTATTCTTGATAATAATCAATATCCAATTTCTCGTAGTGATCTGTCATCTTGTGAGATCGTTAAGGATCTGTTATCTTATAAGGCCGCTTAGGATGATAGTTGGACTGCGCGTTCAATTGACATCATCTTGTACTGGATTGAACATGTTTTAATGGAGGATGGTAATGTAAGAATGCGAGTACAATAATGTGAAAAAGAAAACATGTATTTTATTAAATGCTTTTAAGCATCTCCTGCAAAGATACATATTTCTTGCGACAAATTAAAGTAATTTAGCTAGTGTTAAATCGATCTATCAATCAAAAAATCATCGAAATCGGCAAACTAATCACGCTTTTTAGTTTACGACAGGAGCCGCAAGCGATGGTGACTTTTTGCCTTACGGAAGGAAGTTTACATATTATACGTCGCTGATTAAACCAGAAATTTTTGGCCATATTTATTAACCCAAATAATATAGAAATAGGATGCTACTAAATCAGAATTTCAACTTTGTGGTCTTGTTGAAAATTTTAAAAAATGGACAAGCATTCATAATATTTATTCAAGAAAAGTCTTGCCAATTTAAGGGGATGGGTTCGTTTATATGTTTTTGATTATTTAATTAAAATTAAGGTAAGGGTTAGTTAGGGGTTAAGGTTAGGGTAAGGCTTATAGGTAAAATTGTCTTCCCGACATTTTTTATTAGTGCCCCGAGGTAGGTTTAGACACTCGTTTCTCGTA